CGGGAAAAAAAAATCCTTGTTTAAAGAATATTTTGTCCCAAATCAACCCTGGGAGGTCCCTAACCTTTCGCGTAATTTACTGACCCCTGAAACCACCTCCCGGTTCCATACCTCTTTTGGGCGGAAGCCTTTTATTCGAACCCACCACCCAATGGAAGTCCGGGCGGGAACCCTGAGGGCGAGCGGGCGGGCGGGAGCCGCGGGCGGCCGATACCCGCGGGCGGGAGTGTGCAGCGGCGACGGACGGGAGAGGGAGTGCGCTGGAGATAAAACAAAAAAGAGGGCTGATGCCACGTCATCGCCAGGTAAGCGGAGAGAGAGTGAATCAGGATGGTGTTTAACGGGAGGCGCATTTGAGTCTTAGGAAAACTTCTCTCCATAGATGCACTTTTTGTGCGCGGGAAAGAGGCTAGGGTTTGCGATGGGCGAATTCACTCGTTTGGGATGAGGGTGCTCGCCTGCCCCTGCGCGACATTGTGGGCCGCGGCGCACACCAAGCACAGCGCCACCACCACCCTTGTCTCCTCCACCGCCAGCACCGCCCAGGTACTGTCTCTCCAATGCGGACAGCACATCTGTGATCATCACCATTATTCCAGGGGATTCTCGCTGCCTCTTGAGCTTGGGCATCTGGATCGCGATGATCCAGCAGAGAAGGAATTGGGTCTACCAGCGTACAGATCTCATCCAGAGAAGCAGCGATGCCAAGAGCGCGCTCAAGCTCTACTGGCGCGCGCACCAGCAATTCCTGGGCGTGGAATCCACAGGGATCCCTCCAGACGGCAGTGATCGAGAGTTGGCGCCTCCTCCACCCGGGGATCGCCTCGCCGAGACGTGGAATTCGATCGAGGAGATGGGCGTGGCGGTGCTGGAGCTCTGCCTGGCGGCGCTGGCCAGCGGATTGGCAGGCGGCAAGAACCGCTACGTTCTCGAGAAGCTCTTCCTCAAGATGCAGTACGCGCGCCTCCCAATCTCCAAGTTCCAGTGCCGCCGCTTACTCCTCCAATGCGGCGGCACCGCCAACGATCACGTCCTCCTCCGCGCGCTCTACGCCTTCATGCACTGCCGCCGGATGCTCACCACCGCGCTGTGCAACCACAGCATCTAGGCCCTGGGCGAGCACGGCAAGTGGTGGGCGGCGCTGGAGATCTTCGAGACCATGGCGGAGGTGGGCTGCCCGCCCAACGATCTCACCCGCAAGC